AAGTGAAAAATTTCAAAATATTCAGCTTCTTTAAGGAAAAAATTAGAATAAAATAATTGGTCACAGACGTGATCAGTGATCCAGTCACTATTCACGAGTGTTTTTTAAAAGAAAATTATGGTACTATTTATTACATTGTTCATGATTAAAAAAAAAATTATTGTTCACATTAAATTTTAAAGGTCGAAATTACGATTACAATAAGATATTTATTAAAAGCATATTCAAGGCTTCTTAGATCACCTACCACGCAATGCCACTTTCCAAGTTCCGATGCCCAGTAGAAAGATGTCAATGCATAATTATTTAATGTTATTATCACGAATACGATGACGATTATGCTACAAATATGCTTATTTATGATCATATGATTACCTATGCTTAGACCGTTCATTTAGCATTATTATCATGAATATGATGAAATTATGTCCAAATAAGCTACAATTGTGCATATTTATGTGCTTGCGTATGTGTAATTGAAAATTAGAACCCGTAAGTTATGAAAAAAATTTAAACTTTCGCTCCTGTTTGGTACACATTATTTCAAAATACATTCTTTCAAAACTCATTTTCAACTACACATTCTACAATAAAATAATATTTTTTATCACATCAGTAGTTTCTCCTTACTTTTTAATCACATATTTCTCATTATATCACTATTTAAAATACATTCTTTTCTCAATAATATCCATCAAACACACCCTTAATATGTTTAATTATTAAAGTATAAATTTCTTATTATATTACTTTCAATGTTTAGATTCTTATTTTAGAAAAAGTTACTAAACTTTATTTACTAGACTTCCTATGACTTTATTAAATGTTTCCTACTTTAGAATATGTTTATTTATTAGATTTTCTAGAATTTTATTCGATGTTTCCTACTTAGAATAGGTTATTTGAACCCTGTATAAAGGGAGCTTATGCATTTCATAATTAGACCTTTATTATGTAACAAATTAATACTTTCTCCCCAAATTTCTTTATTCTCCTCCCTTCTCTTTAAGGGGTAAGTACTAATTACATTGTACCTTATTAGTTATTACGTTGATTGTAGTTTAATAGTTTATAAAGTGTACTAAAGTTTTCTGACTTCTCTTATGTAGGTCACACCAAGAAAATGAATACACTAGCTACCACAAGGATGAACAATCTAGTTTTTGTCAATTTTAATGCAAGGTTATGATAACAAGAGAAGAATGGGCACATTGGAAACTCTACTAGCAAGTGATGCTAAGGCACAATCTAGGATTGTTGAAAGTTGTGATGATGACAAGGTGGAGAATGATGTCGTACATATTAGAAGAGGTACTAAAATGTCAAGCTGAAATTAGGGAACCCGAGTAAAATGATTTTGTATCAAATGACACGGAACATGAGTTAGATGAAGAGATTGAATTGTAGTCAAATAATTGTTAAACTATGGTGCCATCTAAATTGTCTATTTGTAGAAATTATTAAGTAATTATACTTATTAGAATCCCACATTGTTTGGGAAAATATAAATGATCCACTTAATAAAGCGAGGGCAATCCTCCCCTAATTAGCCGGTTTTATTAGATGGAGTTACGCCCAATATTCCTAACATGGTATCAGAGCTAGGCCCAATTATGCAATGTTGGGTGCCACCCAATATCGATTTGTTCACAGTTGTTTGGCATGGTCCACGCTGTGCGTGAGGGGGCGTATTAGAATCCCACATTGTTTGGGAAAATATAAANTTAGAATCCCACATTGTTTGAGAAAATATAAACGATCCACTTAATAAAGCGAGGGCAATCCTCCCCTAATAAGCCGGTTTTATTAGGTGGAGTTAGGCCCAATATTCCTAACAATACTATTTATGATTTCAAGACTTTTTGTTTTGTTGGAAACTTGAAAGTATATATAAAGTTCCTACAAATCAATTATGATTAGTCGGTTGTTAATTTATTTAATTGCATGCATTAAGCTGATAGACTTTCAAATATTATAACTTTCAACATTAAATTATTTTATTTAGTTAATGGTCTGAGAATAACTAAAACAATATAAAAATAAGGCAACAGCTTATTACGCCTACACATGTAAAGGTTGAAGCTTGAGCTTCTCGTCTTGCCTCGTGCTTTTAGAACTTGATATTAATAGATGTGGCAATACTAAATTTAGAAAAATAAGTGGTGCTATGATGTTTTTAACTAGGATTCCCGAACCTTTGAACTAGCGTAGAAACGGCTCCCCTACCTTCAAAAGTAAGACTTTGCCTCCCCAACCTATTGAACCCTATGAAAGTGGATCCCCATCTAATAGAAATTGTTAGTTTGACCATTAAAAAGTCAAACTTTATGTTGAAAAGACTAGCCCTTGTTTGGAATTAAATAGAAGAAAATAGTGTCAATGAGATTGAATAAGATTACGGAGATCGTTGAAAATTGAATAAGATTCTGGATATCGTCAAAGATTACGATTATATTATTATAATTGTATTAGATATAGATAGATTGTTTTTACCATTAATTAATATTGTAATTGATTGCTTCCATATTTAGTTGTTATTTTAGTCCAATTAAATGAGAGAACTTCTCACAAAGAGGGGTATCGAGTCTTTTATTGAGTATATTTGACATAGTATCAGAGCCGTTCTGATTCTAAACAAATTAACCCTTGAATTTCGTTTCCGGCGGGCGGTCTTGTGCTGCTCGCCCAGGCAATTTTTTTTTTTTTTTAATAAACACAATCATTTTTTGTAGTTTTACAAATCAATACATATCTCCGCCTAAACAAATTTACCTTGTTCATCTCCTTTTTTTTTTTTTTTGGATTGGGCTTTGTTTCCCCCCCCCCCCCCCCCCCCCNGTGTGTCGGCACACTTCGTGAATTTCTTTTGGAAATTCTTCTTGGGGAGTGAGTTCTCGTAGTATCTTTGGAGTGTTCTTGAAGTGACTTTAGAGTAGTTATTTGTTGTTTCTGCATTATTTATTGTGACTTTGGACAGTGACAATACTTGTGCCCATTAAAAAGAAATCCAAATCAAAGCAACCAACTACGAAAATTAATGACATCAATTTGAAGGGGGTGTCAATGAGATTGAATAAGATTACGAAGATCGTCAAAGATTACGATTATATCATTATAATAATATTAGATATATATGGATTGTTTTTACTATTAATTAATATTGTAATTGATTGATTCCATATTTAGTTGTTATTTTAGTTCTATTTAATGAGAGAACCTCTCACAAAGAGGAATATCGAGTCTTTTATTGAATATATTTGACAAATAGGTTTAAAAGAAATAAAAAATAAAAGGAACGAAAAAACACACAAATTAAAATGATTCGTCTTCCTACCTAAACCTTACCCCTACCCACACACCCTCCCACCCCAACATCCTAAAGAAATGGCCAGGAGCCAACACCGCCTTAATACACGAGCCAACATCTTCTTCATTACAGCCAACCTCAATTGCATAATGCACAACCTTCAAATGTATGGTCATTATACTGTGGAAATTCCTTCAGCTCCACCAATTCAACCTTCATTTCCTTGTCAAAATTCTCTCAGGCTTGAAATTGTTCTATTATTGAAAATAAACAATCGTGGACACATTAAACCCATTCCTATAGCACTGTCTTTAAAATATCCTATGGATAGTAAATAATCCAACTTAGGAATTAATGTCTTCACCACACAGGAAACTAATAAAATGAGATCTGATAAACAAATGCATACAAATCCTTGAAGCCTAATCTCTAAAGATAAATAAAGCAGGTTTAAGCTGCTCTCTTACATTGGAAATTAATAGTCTGAGACTATTGATGACCTTCCTAAAATTCTGGTCAAGGACTTTTAGATCATGGGATAGGAAACTGAAAACTAGGTTAAGGTGAATTTTGATGTTGGATGTTAGAATCTGGGTGACACATGCCAAAGATCCTGCCTAAATCCTTTTGGTGGATGCCTTTGGACTGAAGGAAGGTTATGGTTTTCGTATGGAATGCAAATGAGCACCGGTGGGTGAGGCAGTCGACAGTAGCTTAGACAAGTGGGTGGTTTGGATTGTGCTGGGCCTGGGTATGTATTGGAGATCTTTGGGGCAGATTCCCAAGCCAAAAATGGGTTCAGTGATGGGAAAATACAGTAAGCGGTGGTAGTGGAAATGGAGGATGAGGTGTGGGGTGGGGGGGGAGGGGTAGGTGGTGAACGAGGCATATATTCCATCTTCTTTTCTTCATTTTTCTTTTTGTTTGCCGTGTTTTTCTTTCTTTCTTTTCTAATTTTTTTTTTTTTAAATTAAAGTTAGGGTATAATAGACTTTTAAAGAGAATTTTACGTTTTTTATGGTCAAACTAACACTTTCCATTAGGTGGGGATCCAATTTCAGTGTTCAATAGGTTGGGGAGTCAAAGTCTCACTTTTGTAGGTTGGGGAGCCGTTCCCACACTAGTTGAAAGGTTGGGGAAGCCAACCCTAATTGTCCATAACTAAAAACTGTACCAAAACTTCATTATTTCATGGGAGCTGATTTGATAAAAGGAGATTAAATTCCTAATAACAGAGGAAGCCTCTTCATCATGTTCTCCTCCTCAACAACTTCGAATTGAAAGGGACAATTGCCAAAATTTAGTTCAGTTGTTTCACAAGGCAGGGAACATCTTGCTTGATTGAAATTATAACAGTCATTTTAATGTGTTTATCCTTCGCTTATGGATCCACACCCATATACCAATCAGTAGTCCCTAGTGAGAATCAGATGCATACTACAGGTTTTTACTTCATTGAGCATCTATTTACTCCAGCCTTTGACTACAAAACAGTGTTGCTTCACTAACACAAGAGGCACCAAAAGCTTAGGTGATTGGTCTATGGAAAATTGGTAGCTTAAGCTTCTAACTAATCTTGTGGATGCAGGTTTTAAAAAAAAAACTGTCATAGATCCATTATGACTTGATTCAACTTTGAATACTGAAACGAAAAAACTGTGATAAGGAATTTCATAGGAGAGGAACAACTTACAATTATCTTCCCCCAAGAAGGTTTATAAGACGATTGATCCATAGCAACATGTTGTTCCCTGGTGTTGGTTCCAATACTTAAAGAAGCTGGGTTTACAGAAACATGCTCACATTCTTCACTTGATTTCTCACGTGCCATAAATGCCGCTGACCCTATGTTTCCTTCCTTAAACTTCTTCTGAGGCTGTAGAAGTGGATTACGAGAATCTAAAGGTGAATGATGTCTTCTTTTTGTCAGGGAAGTGGTAACACTAGAAGGTTTCTGTCTTACAGGATTTGATTGTTCAATCTGATTCTCCCTTGAGTCCAACGAACAAGGTATTTCCTCTTCAGAGTTGTCCTTTCTGTTGCCTGAACTCCCTACCAGCACAGACACAGCATTGCCATCAGCACATTCGGGCTTCAGGCCTTCATTTCCATTGTCTGAAGACGGGATTGAGACTCCCTAAGAGAATTGTCAAACTGTCAGGTTTTGCCTTCTTTCCATTGTCTCAATTCACAGTCAAATAGATCAGCACATCCGAATTACAATTACCACAATAAAGCTCTAGGTCCAGGTACTACAGACTAGTTTTCAATATTCAGCATATTCATGCAATTGGCACAAACATAACAAATTGTGAATTCATATTTGGGAAGGAAACAAATCATTTAGGAATTTGGATTAATTTTCAAGGATAAGGAATTTAGAATAAATGATTCATGATTTGGGCATGTCGAAACTCGAGCAGTTGCTCTCTGTTCTCTCTTTATTTTTTTTCAGGTGGAATTTTGCCCATGAATTGACCGAAATCAGATGATATCAAATAAAAAATTCTTGAAAAGTGCCCAAAATATCAATATCTTGAAAGAGAACAAATATGAAACTTGATCATTCAGTAACCCAGAGCCACTACATGCCTTGCGCCACATGAAAAATGAATAAAAACATGTTTGATGTAGATTTTTTAAGAATAGATTTTGAGAAAAAGAGATATTTTTTGGAGAATGTGTAGTCAAAAAAAGTTATGGATCCACGTGCATAATTATTTTATTGTGAAAACGTGATGTTAAAAATGATTTTGATTTGGGGAAAAATAAGTTTTAAAGAATCTGAACCAAACAGTGGCTAAGAATGACACAACTTCTGGAGGTCCGTCGATAAATAACATGGATTTATTAACAAACCATAAGCAGATCATGACGCTGCAAGTTTAAAGGATTCTGGAGAATATCAAAAGAAGAAGAGGGGCCAACAATAAGGATATTATTGACCATCAAATAAAACAGGAGAAGATTCAGAAGCTTGCAAAAACTAGCACACACCTGGGAAGAAGTGAACCATTTTCCATTTTTCCATTCCATATGAGGTCTTAGTTCTGACTGATGGAATTCCTTGTGTTTTTTTGTCTACTCTAAGAAGACTATGTACCTATTATCCTCAAGTTCTTTCGTAATCACTCCACTCCACCAGCCAAAATCAAAGAATGCCTCAACTTTTTCCAACATAAAAAATTTTTTATCCTCGAGAACCGGTGGGCATGGTCTGATGTGAAGGGAACTAGTATTTACTTTCAGATGTTGAGCCTTGTTGCCAATTTTTTGGCTCCAGTACTCCACCAGAAAAGATAAGTTTCCTAAGTATTCACATATAGTGGTCGGAAACCAAGCATCCCCACAATCTTCTACATCAAATGACACTTCTAATTTTCTCCCATCAAACATCAATCCAACCATCTACCACAAATTTGAAAAGAAGAAATAGAATTAAAAAATCAATAATCGAAGAGAAAAATAGAAATATTCAATAAGCATACTGCAGACACGCAACCAACCCTCCAACAACTCTACCGAGATACGTTGAGCAGCTTCATTCTCCGGCGAGAACACCAGTGACAGAAATTTAATCTTGCCAAAAATGGACTGAGAGTTGTAACCACACTCCCACTACAAAATCGATAAGTATGCTACAAGCAAATTAAGCACACCTAATTCCAAAAATATATAGCAGCACACAACAATATAATAGTAGAAAATGAGAACTACTTCTCCAGAAACAAAATAGCACTGTAACGACTCTAATTAAGTCCCACATCGCAACGCAGTGGCACAATCAGAATTTTATTCCAATAGGGGCAATGACTTCATTAAAATTCTGAAGCAACATAATAATGCAAAGATATTATATATGTTATCATCGTGTAAAAGGCATAATTGATTACTGAGGCATTTCCCCTGCATGAGGCGAAGCCTAAGCTTTTAGGCTTTTTGAGCCGTAAGCCTCGCCGTAAACCAAGTAAATGTCAATTATGAAAATGCTAAATAAACACATCTAAGAAGCATCGATACTTATAAACTCGTTACGTACCCGCATCCGACACGTATCCAAGCTTGGATACTCTCCGATACGTATCAGATACATGTTTTTTAATTATTTTATATTTTTAAAATTTTCGATACGTATTTTAATTATTTTATATTTTTTAATTATTTTCGATACGTATTTGATACGTTAGGACACATGAAGAAGAGTGTTATTGGTTTTAAACTCTTTTAAAACTCATTGTTTTGACTATATATTGAAAAAAAAAATTTACATTATCGAATATTAATAATATATACAATTAGAGTTTTAAATTAATTAATAGCTAGACTTTTTTTATTGAAAATATAAAATATTATTTAATATTTTAATACATGTGAATCCAAGTTAATAGTTGACAAATATATTTTTATTATTAAAAATAGAAAATAATTAGTATTAAATAATTGGAGTAAGCACTCTTTTACGCACTCTATAAGTAGGAATAAAGTAACTACACAACATACCGAAGAATTTGTTTTCATTAGTAACAATCTGCATCTTTTATCAAGAAAATTAGATTTCTATTCAAAAGGAGAATACAAAATGTGGGATGTTGTCAAATACTCATTTGTGCTCGACTATTTAAGGTTGCAATCTATAATTAGATGAGACAAAGTTAGAGAGTGTTATTTTTAATGATAATGAAAAAGCTGATGTTTATGATGTTGAAGAAGATAAAGTTGGAACAATTTTAGTATTTTATTTTATTATTATTGTTATATTTCTGTTTCAATTTTTTAATATTAATGATTATGTTAAATTTTATAATATGTATCCTCATATCCCTTTTTTTTTTTTTTTTT